TCAGAGGCTCTCAGAACGTCTCAGGAGCTCTCAGAGGCTCCAAAGTGGTTGTGATCTCACCCGCCCCACGTGTCCTGGACGGTTGTGATCTGGCCCGTCCGGCTGTGATCTCGCCCGACCGTTTGTGATCTGGACCTTGCTCGGCGGGGGTTTGGGGGGGTGGGGTGGGCACGGCGGCGACCGCTGCCTCAGTGCACGACCCTGCAGCAGTCGCAGAAGACGGCGCCGCCGCGCTCGACGACGCACCTGCGGGGGCGGCGGGGGGGCGCGCTGGTGGCCCTCGCTTGGATGGGCCGCAGCGGCGTCGACAGTTGGCTGGGAGGTGGCAGAGAGATACAATGGCAGCGTTACGTGGTTCTGTAGTCTGGGCTGCAGTGGGCATTTCTGATATGGCTTCCCAGCCGCTGCTTGCGCTTCAGTGCGCCTTGGAGAAGCGATCTGTGTCGCGCGGCGACGATGTATCCAGCCTTGGAGGTGAGCTCGCGCAAGTATTGCTTCCTAAGTCTTATGATGCCCCCGATGGCTATGCTGCTTCGATCGAGTTGATGTGGTCAATGGAATTATGTAGAGTTGACTGGCGCCCCCTCTCCTTGTCGGAGTCGTGCCCACTTTGTATGCGAGGCTCTTCATATATCGAGCTTGCTGCGTTTGCCATGCGTCATAACGCTTGCTCATTTCGACGAAGGATTCGGCATCTTCTGACCGAGCCCCCCCTGGCTCTCCGTTGGTTTGCACGCGTGCCCCCGTCCGCGCCGCGCGAGCATCGCCAAGGGCCCGGGGCCGTGAAAGGCGCGTTCTTCCTGGCGGCCGCGGCGCGGCCCAGGGGCCCGGGGGCCCAGGGGTCGGGCGGGGGCCCGAGGGAGTCCAGGGGCCCAGGGGGCCCGCGGGCCCATGGGCCCTTGGGGCCGGGGCCCGGGGGGCCCGCGGCGCCCTCGGGGCGAGGGGCGGGCGCCGGCGGCGCCAGCCGGCCAGCCAGCCGGCCGGCAGGATAGCTGACGCGCGGGCGCGCGGCGGGGGGGCGGGGAATTGAGGGCGTCGAGGGCGTCCAGGGCGCAGCGGGTAAATTGCGCGGGGGCGTGGGGTGTTAGGATGTCGTGCCAGGGTAGAATGAGATAATGATGGAATGATTCGGTGATCGGGTGATTGGGTGATAGGAGTGCCGATGGTTCCAGCGCCGATGATGCTGGTGGTGACGATAGGGAGATGGGGCGATTGGGATGCGAGGAAGTGGTGATGACAAGATGGGGATCTGAGGATATAAGGGTATGAGGGCGATCGCGATGCTGGCGCGATGATGGCATGATGACATAGCGTGCGATTGTTGCGCTCGCGCCCGCCGCCCCCCGCCAGGGCGCGCCCGATTTCTTATGGGTGCAGCCCCTGGTGACTTGGGGATCAACGTGACAAATGATAGTGCAATTTACTTCGGACCTCCGTCAAGCAGCTGCGACGGGCTTCCTATCCCAGCATGGCGCGTGCACTATTGCTTCTGGTATCAAGCTGTGGGCTTGGGGCAATTCATTAATCTAAATCAATTGCGACCGTGCGCCCAACATATCGTTATCTCTTCTCGCATCTCGGCTGTCTGCAGAGAAAGCTCCGGGCATCGGTTCCAGAAGTAGTGCGCTGAAATTCAGCACCGTCAAGCCCAAGGCTGCAGCCCTGATTGGCCGGCGCGCGCGCTGGCCGCCCCTCGACGCACTCGAAGCAATCGCGACCTCCCTTTCAAGATGGGAATCTGTTGCCGAGGATAACCGCATGGATGACGTGCCGGCGGTTGGCGCATCAAATCTACCTGCTTGAATAATCTGCGTGGCAGCCTGCAATGTTGCGGCATCGCGTCTGCAGCGAGCCAGACCTTGGACGTTGCTGGAGCAGCGGGGATGCAGCAGTGAATGGATCGGTTTACATAAGCGCTGAGAAGAACAATCGTCTCGGCATGATGATCCTTTGTGTGGTCGCGAGCCGTGATGCTGCATCTGGCGTGCACGTCGCGCGCGCATTTGCCGTTCGGCCCCAGGGTGCCCATTGATGACCTCTTCATGGTGCGCTATGATCACATGCTGGCCTTCTGCCGGATATCTTTGCTGCCCCCCGCTCCCCCCCCCGCCCCCGCCCGCGCCTCCCTGGTCCTTGATCCTGGGGCCCTAGCGATGGTAGCGGGGGGGGGGGGGCGTCGGGCTGGCCCAGCTAGCCTTGTGGCCCTATGGCCCTATGGCCTAGGGTCCTATGGCCTATGGTCCAATGGTTGACCTGGTGGAGCCCCCGCGTACTTGCCATCGCGCGTATCAAGTGTGATGCATTTTGTGGTTGTTTCCTTCTCAGGGCCAACGCCGAGGCATTCTTGGCCATGATACCGCGTCCTGCGATGTGGGGCGCCGATCCCAAAGGTGACGCTGCTGTTGTCGATGCGGTGGCACCAGCAGGTGATTTTGGATCTGTTTTGCATTATGGGGATTCACATCCAGGAGGCTAGCGCTCATACGGTATTGGAGCTCAGGCCTTGTCTTGTCTTGAACTGTTTATGTTGTGCGTTGTTGGTGTTGTTGGTGCTCGCTCATCTCCCGCGTCAGTCCTGCTTTGTTGTGCGAGGTTGTGTATCTGAGTTGCGCAAGTTACGGTTGTTCGTCAAGCATGTCTAGCGCATGTATTGACTGTTCGGTCGCGCGTGACTTGTTGCGGGGGCGGCCTCTGTATTCCTCGTAGGTGCGATTGGGCAACTAACCAGTTGCATTCCGCGCCCTTGTCTCTTCCTTCTGCCTTTCTGTCCCCACCTCCCCCCCCCTCTCCTCCTCCTCCCCCTCCCCATTATCCCCTCCCCTTCTTCTCCTCCTCCTCCTCCTCCCCCCCCCTCCTCCTCCTCCTCCTCCTCCTCCTCCTCTTCCCCCGCCTTCCCCTCCTCCTCCTCCTCCTTCTCCTCCTCCCCTCCCCTCTCTCCTCCTCTCCTCCTCCCTCTCCTCCTCCTCCCCTCCTCCTCCTCTCCTCTCCTCCTCCTCCTCCTCTCTCCCTCCTCCTCTCCTCCTCTCCTCCTCCTTTCCTCCCCCTCTTCCCCCCCCTTCTCCTCCTCCTCCTCCTCCTCCTTCCTCTCCTCCTCACCTCATCCTCTCCTCTCTTCCTCTCCTCCTCCTCTCCTCTTTTCCTCCTCTCCTCCTCGTCCTCCTCTCCTCCTCTCCTCCCCCCCTCGTCCTCCTCCTCTCCGCCTCCTCCTCCTCCTCTTCCTCCTCCTCCGTCGCCTCGCCCACACCTCCAGCTCGCCAATTCGCCCATCCTTTCCTTCCCTCCCGCCCCACCCCTCCACCCCTCCACCCCGACCTGTTCCTCTGTTTTTCGGCTGTCCCTCAATCCCTCAACCCTTCTCATGGGCCTCGCGCGCCTTTGCGCGCATGCGCCTTTCGTTCGATCCCCTCGCGCCCTCGCATCCTGTTGCGTCCTCGCATGCGCGCGCGCGTGGAGAATGGCCCACTGGCCCTTCTCGGCCCCGCCCCAGCGGAATTGCGTCCCACGCGGACCACCTCGAGACCTCGCGGCGCCCCGCGGGGCTGCGATGTGCGCCATTGTCACCACTTTCGTTGGCTCCTGGGAGGCCCAGCGGAGGTGCGTCCCACGCGGACCACCTCGAGACCTCGCGGTGCCTTGGGGGGCTGCGATCTGCGGAATTGTCGCCACTTTCGTGGGCACTTGAGGGGCCCAGCGGAAATGCGTCCCACGCGGACCACCTCGAGACCTCGCGGTGCCTTGGGGGGCTGCGATCTGCGCAACTGTCGCCACTTTCGTGGGTTCCTGGGAAGCCCAACGGAAGTATTTCACGCGAGCCACCTCGAGACCTCGTGGCGCCCAGGGAGGGCTGCGATCTGCGCAACTGTCGCCACTTTCGTGGGCTCCTGGGAGGCCCAGCGGAAATACATCCCATGCGAACCACCTCGAGACCTCGCGGCGCCCTGGGGGGCTGCGATCTGCGCAATTGTCGCCTCTTTCGTGGGCTCTTGGGAGACCCAACAGAGGAACGTCTTACGCGTTGCCGCTGCTCTTCTTGCTGCGCCTTTCTGAGTTCACTTATGGGTACTCTTCTTCCGCGCTGCGGTTTTTGTGTATATATTGTATATGTATGTGTGTATATGTGTGTATATATGTATGTGTACATACATACACACATGTATATATATACATATATATATATATATATGTATATATATATATATGTATATATATGTATATTCATGTTGTTGTTTTTTTTTCCTTCAGCATGCCCGTCAGAATTGAATGGTCCCGAATGTAGCCACCACATGTATAGGAAAGGGTCGGGTACGTCGCAGGGTAATGTTTGTCCGCTCTGGCCCTTTCTTTACAGTACCATTTCACCAACCAACCCGCTCGAGTCATTTCTTCATCCTCCTCATTTCCTCATCTTCTCATGTCTTCATCTCCTCATCTCCTCCATCTCCTCCTCCTCATGTCCCTCATCTCCTCATTCCCTCATCCTCTCATCTCCTCATCTCCTCTTCCCTCGCCTCATCTCCTTGGCGCTCTCCGTCTCCCGGAGCTGGAGCAGGAGCAGAGGCCCGCCTGTCCCCACTGCCATTGCCGCGCCGCCGGCGCCGCGGCGGCCAAGGGGCTAGGGCTTTTGCCGGGCTCGACAAAAACACGGCCCGCTGCGAGCGGGGGGGGAAAAACCGAACGAAAATAGTGTTAAACTGACTCCTCGTATTCACGTAGTCGCGTAGTTCCCGTGCGGTCACACTATTACACCGTCGTTGTGATCGTGTGATACTGATCGCACCACCATATTAACACATTACCACACGGCCAAAGATTAGGGAACCACGAGGAGTCAAATGCGTGCGATGAGTCGTGCGAACGGAGAGACGGAACGGATGGGGCGGACGTCGGGCGGAGAAAATGTAGAGGATAGGGCGGAGGTCAGACGAACGCGACTAGGGCCAACTGGAGTCTGGGAGGAGACATGATAGGGGGAGTGGGTGAGAAACGTAGAGGATACAATCTCATACGAGAGAGAGGCGGGTCGAACCCGATTCCGCCAGTCTTCCCGGTCTGGCATCTGTAACTTCCCAGCATAACATATCACATCATGGCACAGCATCACCAAACATATCATAACACGGCGGCAGGGCAAAGCGGCGAGCACACCATAACACAACATGCCACACCATACTATAACGTAGTATGCCACGAACATGCCATAACATGACTGAGCAACACATAGCAATATCATGGAACAAGAGATCATGGTATATGTATAACATCACACAACACATCATATCATATCACTGTATAGCAGAAGGCAGTACAACATGACATATCCTATCATAACCGAGCCAATCGTAAAACACCTTGGCAACACATCCCGTATCATTGTGATTTCTCGCATCACATATAACACGACAGTGTGACATGGATCGGCATACTAGCATAGCTGGCATTGGTGTATCATACTGTGCCGAGCCGCCCACGCACAACATCGAATAACATACCCGTGTCTTGCATGATATCTCAGAAGGCGACGTAACACAACATAACATACTATGGCCGATCATAACATAACACACGATGGCACAATACGTCATATCAGGGCACACATCACATCACATATCATAACACGGCACCGAGGCATTGCGACACTTGTTTAGCATATCGTAGCATAACATAACGTATTGGGCCGATTCGTCAGCAACATCGTGGATTCGAGCGTTCTACAACATAAGCTGCCAGCATATCATGCAGCAACATAGTGCCGCAACGCAGGTCATACCATAGCATCTCCAACCATATGGTGATAGATATGCGCCAACGTGCACCCATGGATGTCGGATGCCCACGTGCCGGGGGGGCTTCGCCCAGTGCAGCCGCGCGCCCCGCGCGTGCTCGGGGGAGCGAAGAAGACGAGGGCGAGGGGGAAGAGGGGGGTGCGAGGCGCATGACGAGGAAAGAGGACGAAGAACAGGGTGAGGAGGAGGGAGGAGGGACCGGAGGAGGATGAGGAGGAGGAGGAGGAGGGGAAGGAACGAGGACGATGAGGAGGAACAGGAGGAGGAAGGAGAGGTCCTCTTCCCTTTTCTTTTCCTCCTCCTCCTTGTCCTTCGTCGTCCGTCTCCTCCTCGTGATGTTGCTGCTGTTCTTCCTCTCCCTCTTACCTGAGGTTGATACTATCTCAGAATAAGTTTTTGGGTATCGCAAACAGCGGTTTGTGTTTGCTTTTGTCCTCGTCAGGGGCCGTGGGGTTGTTAGAATTCGGGGAACATCAACTTGCGACCTGGCCCGGCCGCCGCGCTGGCCGACGCCGCCGGGCATTGCGCACATCCTTCCAGTAGGCGCGCGCACCGTTGGGACCAAACGCCGACGGTTTCGGTGGGGATCGCTCGAAGCAAAATAATGTTGTTTCGTGTTTGTCTGCTGGGTTTTCTGGCTCAACATGACGTTGCATCAGGAATCATGTTTCATGCTCTCAGCCCGTTCTGCCGCTTTCATGAACATCTTCCCTCTGCTCTCTCCCTCTCTCGCTCTTAGTCTCTCTCTCTCTCTCTCTCTTTTTTTTTTTTTTTTTTGTTCTCTCTCTCTCTCTCTCTTTCGCTCTCGCTTTATCAACGTAACTCTGCTCTATACTCTGTGTCCTGAACTCCTTTATTCTGAACGATATGCATTTTCTTGTTTGACAGTGGTCGCAAGTACTGCTTGCGTGTCTCCCTCCCTCTTTCTATCCAGGTGCCTACGGCAAGTCCTGCCGCCGTACCATGGTTGTGGGTATGAAGCCTATTGGATGTCCGTTGGGATCTCGCGGGAGGCCTCTCGGGGCTCTCGGGGGCCTCTTGAGGCAGCTTTGAAGTCTCTTAGGTGCCGTTTGGGGGCCGCTTGGGGCTTTTTTGTTGGCCTCTGAGAGGCCCCTTGGGGCCTCTTTGGGGGCCCCTTGGGGACCACCTGGGGCCTCCTGGGTGCCTTCTGAGGCCGCTTGGGGGCCTCTTGTGGCGGAAGGCTCGGATTTTTGGGGCCGTGTTTTCTCTCTTGAGCCCCTTTTCAGGCTGTCGTGAGGTCCTCTTTGGTAGTCTTTGGTGCCTCTTGGGCCGTCTTGGGGCGCTCTTAGGCCGTCTTGGGGCCCTCTTGGAAGCCTTTGGCGCCGTTTTGTCATGGTTGGGGTCCTCTTCGGGCGTCATGGAGCGTCGGAGAGCCGAAACGGCGGCAACGCCACAATCTTTCAACGACTTGAGGAACATCCGTGATTCGTGCTTCTTGGGGCCCTCGTGGGAAGCCTCTTGGAGGCTTCTTGGGGCGTCTTGGAGGCCTCTTGGGCCATGTTGAGGCCATCTCGGGCGTCTTCGAGCGATCGTTCGGCGACTCGGGGCCCTCTTGGACCGTCTTGGGAGCCTCGCGGGCCTTCATGGAGTCGGGTGAGCGTGACTGGTGGGTGGGTGGGGGGTCTACACAAACCCTGCCAGGCAGCCCTTGGCCTTTTTCCACGCCTCGTCGTGCCGCAGGCACGGTGACGGATTG